CCATCGCCGCCCACCGCACCGACCCGTAGCTCGAACCCTAGCCGCTCTCGCCCAGATCTGAAGCAATAGATGCTTCGTCGATCGCATCTCGATGGAGAAGAAGTAGAAGAAGTTGTCGTCGGGGAGAGGACGATGAAGACCAGGGGAAGGGCGGCAGCGGCGGCAATCCGTTAGGCTCTGTCCACGAAGGAGATGGCGACAACCCAGGCGGAGACGGCCAAGCAACGGAGGAAGAGGCGGTCCGTCCGTTCTATCCGCAGAGGAGATGGGCTTTGCGTCGATGTATTGCTCATTCGCTGAATTTCGTTGATGTCTTCGTAGAAGTCTTCGCTGAATTTTGTCGTTGAAAGAAAATGGAGCATTGGGGATGGGGATGTTTCAGGGGTCACTTTTTGGGAAAAGAGAGATTTGGTCATATTTTAGTCCAATAAAACACGGGGAGTGATATTTGTGCCATTAATTCCAAAGAATATTGGATCAGCCAATATTGATTCTTTTCTCCTAGCAACAATGATAATATCAACAATAACAACAATAATTGCAATAAACTTATATCCCTTTGAGGTGTACTAACATATAATATATCATTCAAATCAGGACACCAAAGAAGTTATAAAATTTAGGTGTTATAAACCATTTCCTCATTTGTGGTCCACTCCTTTGGTGTGAAGTGGAACGACTCCTCGTCCAAATTACAAAGTACACATAGTATTCATGAATTACTTTTAGGTTTATAAGAACATGACATTTTTTATGAGTAGTAGGAACAACTGTAAATTATAACATATTGAGAGAAAGTCTCGCGAAAAAAATAAAACACAATATCTTTTGTCTTAACCAAATTCATTGTAGCCATGTCTTAATCATGAATTCATGATAAAAAAGAGCACTACAATAAAATATACCATTATGTATATAAATTTGAACCTTAATTGTGCATCTTAAATTCTTAGGTAAGCAACTCAAAATTACCAAATTGCAGCACTTACTAAGAAAATGTAAAATTATTCAAGATCACTTGTTCCTTTTTGAAAAGAACCCACAAATGACACATACATGTAGCATAGAAATAGATAAGAAGCCTAATTCTAGTTTTGAATATTAATTAACCAGCCCCTCCCATCTTGGACATGAACATTGATAGTACAAACCCACAAGTCACTTTTACTTAGTCATATTTTTATGCGCATATAGGCCAAAATTTATGTATTTTACACACTTTCATAAGAAAATGATCCATCTACTAGCAAACTTATTGAAAGCGTAAAAAAGCGTCAAAAAGCGTAAGCTAACGAAGGACCTGCGCTTCGCTTTCCATTTGCGCGACTCTGTGAGAAAGCGCACGTTGTCTTCCGCTTTTCCCTTAAGCGTAACCTTCACAAAGCGGTCGCTTTATTCCGCTTCTCACAAAAAGCGATAGACCAGTCAACACTTCGAAAGTTTTTTTTGTCTGGACTCTGCGATTACGATTACTAGGGTTGAGTCCGTTTAGAGAAAGACAAATCGATCGTTCATCTACAGAGTTGTGACGAGGAGAAAGTTGCGAGCCTGCGATCGTTCATCATCGTTCGTTCTTATCTTTCTGTAGCCGACAACCAGAAGACCTCTCCAGAGCTGCGAGCCTGCGACAACCAGAAGACTCCTCCAGGTATTCCTTCTTGATCGAATACTGTTGAAGTGTTGAGGTAGTCTTCGTTTACTCCTCCAAGTTTGTATTCAATCTTCGTGGGCGTAGATTTTATTACAGAGTATATTTTTACTTTGAATTTTTTGGTTGATTTGTTTAATACTACTGTATTTTAATACTGCGACAACCACAAGACTCCTCCAGGTATTACTCCTCCAAGTCTTTAAGAATTTCTACAGTTGTATATTCTTCACTTTAAATTTTTTTGGTTGATTTGTTTTCATTTTGTGTTTTTTATTCTTCTATACTCTATATTTTCAGATTCTTCTTGTATAGAATTCACTTTGAATTTTGTGATTGATTTGTTTTAATTTTGTGTTATTCAGTGTGTCACTGTGTGTTTTAATTTTGTGTTATTCAGTGTGTCACTGTGTGACATAAGTATACATTATATATTATATTTTCTTTAATTTTTTAAGCATCAATTTTTGTGAGAAAGTTACGCTTCGCTTAGCGCTATCGCTTTGAAGCAAAGCCCGGGATCATCGCTTTTGGAAGCTTTTCGCTTTAAAAAAGTTTGTCTACTAGTAAACATAGGCCAAATTCATGTAATTATCATCTTGAATTTAACAATGAATGATACTAATAATATCAACACCAAATATCAATATTCCTCTCAAATTAAAATTCACCATACTAAAATGATTAATACGGGGTAGATACTAACTAACCTTGAGAGAAGCTAAGAATGGAGATGAAGAGAGCTGGCACCGGCCTCCTAACAGCAGACTATGCATGAGCAGCGGCAGCATACTTCGACCGAGAGGTGGAGGCAGACGTCGAGCAAGTGGTGGTGGCAGACTTCGAGCGAGCGGCGGCAAGATGTCGAACGATTGGCGGTGGCGGCGGGCGAGCTGTGGTGACGGACGAGTTGCGGCAGGGAGGCCGGGGTTTAGATTTGGCTCGATTTGTGTTGACGGTTACTCGAGGAAGGAGGAGACCCTCATAAACTATAGCTTAATCAGTTTTTTAATCTGGTCAAAGGTGGATTCTAGATTGGATTTGTATGACGTTTGCTGGTATTAGTGAAAGATGAGAATGAAATGACACAGACGATTGAAGGAAAAAATGACGAGCACTGAGAACTTGAAAGAGAAAATTTTATTGTTTAAGGTTCATTATGCAATTTTGAAAAGGAGAAATTTTTAAACAAAGGGTAGCTCTCCCGTGCATCTACATTACTGCATGTTTTGGTGCACTCAACAGGTGGCATAATCTTATTTGGTATTAATTCCACGTCACCAATTCATTTAAAAAATTTCTACAATTACAAATGTGATCCTTATTTAGCTGATGTTCGCAAATTTGTCCATGCCTGGTTTCTCTACTTTCCGTTCTCAGAAGTGCTGCTCTAATCTTGTTCAACTTTATCTTTCAATTGCCTCCTTGACATCTGGGAACCTTGTCCGTAGGCTTTCGCTGGCCAAAAAATCCTAACTAGTATTTCGAACGCACAAAGCATTTAACTAATTATGTGAAAGGCTAGTACTACAGGGTTAAATTGAGGTCGGCCGGGATGTCTGACTTTTGGAGCCATTACAATTCAAGCACAAGATAGATTCAGGAGATAATTAAAGTGATGAATTGGAAGAATAAAAAACCAGTGAAGAGATTTTGGATGCAAAAACATTTTCTTGAAGCCCAGAAGGGGGAGAAGAAGAAATGGGTTATGAATTATTATAATAGGTGTGAAGGAATAAGTTTCTGTTATGAATTATAATAACTGATTAACTGCATATGTTAAGTTAATATAGTTTATATTATGACACTTTTTAATCCCATGCAAATTATGCATTATTATAATAAGGTAATGAACAATAACATGATTTATTTCCTTTAAACTTTCCACTTAAAAATAACATGCATTATTATAGCATTTCCTTAACACATTTAAGATGGGGAGACAACACAGTTTTAAAATTTACCGATATGAAGCTTGTTTCTTTTTATTTATTTATTATTAAAATGTTAATTGACTTTTTTAAACTAGTTGCTCTCTACTGTAAACAATATTAGTTTTAGTATGCAGTATCTTTTAATGTATAACTTACTTCGTATTAACTTTTAGTGTAAAACCTGCCACTTGAATCTATTTGTTCATTTGAGATCCTACAACACTTACTGTTTAATATTCCCATGAGATGAGGTGCACCTTTTTTTACTATTAGTGATTTTTCTTTTATTGCAGGAGCTTTTCAAACTATAGCTACTCATTCATTAGGCATTGACAATATGCTAATACTCAGCAGGACTGACTCTAGATCTTCAACTAGCCCATAACATCTTTCTATAAATAGAGAGAGCAAACTTTTTGAAGTTCTAAAACTTTTGAAAGATTTATTCCTTTCTGTTTTGGTTCACTTGTGTAGGAAGTGACCTTGCACTGAAGAGAGCTTTTCAGTTCCTTGTTATTGTATAAGGTTTTGGTGTACGTATTGTACTTATGGAACACTTCTATTGGAATTATATTTCATGTAAGACATTTTATATAAAAAAACATGTGAAGTGATACCTAGGCAACCCAATCGTCTTCGTGTCAGCGTCCCCTTCCCATTTCCACTCCTTCCATTCACATAGACCTCCCAGAAAATTTATTGTTATTGGCCACAACTTGAAGTCTCACAGGGGTTCCATCAATGGATTAGCTCCACATATGTTGGGCAGAAAGGTGAGTTCTTGGAAGCCCTGAACGGTCTTCTTATGAAATCCTTGCATATTGCACTAATTGTTGATCAAAATTGTATGTTAGATATATTAGCCTTGATTTGCATTTCTAATTGTAATCGTATTTGTTTTCATTTTTCCTTATTACATCATCATGCTTTTTCTTAATACTAGAAAGGATGGATGGATCTCACTTGAAGAAGTGCCCCTATATGTAACAGATTAACAGGTATAGTAAAGAGAACCTATGCAGGTTAAGAATTTCCTTGAACTTTACTAGTTACTTCATTTATCTTTTTTCTATGAGGGACTGAAGCTTTATGTGCAGCTCTTGATCATTTCATTTTTTTTCTGAATGAGCAAGTATAAGCAGTCTGTTTAGCACTAAGAAAGTATGAGTTTTTCTTGTGAAAAAACAATTCTTCTGTTATGCTTCAATAGATCAGGCCTATGATTCCTCATGACAATTCTACCTTGAGAGTTGGGGGTTGAGTTCTTAAAACCCCACTTCTGTTGCACACATAAGTTAAACAAATGAATTCTGATTTCTTCAAAGAATGATAATGCATGCGATTTCCTTCCTTTAAAGTTGAAGGGAAGAATATAAAAATGATGTTTTAATAGGAATCACTATATGAACGTAGTAATGAACAAGTGCAAATATTCAGCTCTTCACAAATTAGATGTGATAAAAAAACATCCAAAAGTATTGCTCCTCAAAAAAACCAGCCATTTCTTCCCTCATAATACATGAAAAAAACAATCAATAGACTACCTATTACATTTATTCAACTAATTCTTGAGTTCCTAGCACCTTTTCCGCTTCTTCCAACTCTTTCACAATCGTCGCCTCTTCCACTTTATCCACTTCTGCTACGTCTTCCACCGCTTCTTCCCTTTTGTTTATAAACTGGACGTTCAAATAAAAGACTCAATTATAGTTAACATCGATTATTTACACTTCAATTAAATCAAAACTTACCGATTACTTTAGAGGACAAATTCTTGTACACTTATAATAATAGTGCGAAGAACAACACATATAGTAATTAGAATTGAAATAGCAGGTGTGCATCAAACTAGCATGTGTGGATCATAATACTAGTGTGAAGTCCAACACGTCATTATAAATAGTGGAGCCTAAATAAAAGTTAGTAACACTAGCACTCACTACCAATTATAAGAATAGACAAGGTCAAGCACCTCCATCTGTTTCTCCTTCTGGTCTTGCAACTATACACACCTGCAATCAACCATTTGCCCTAATACTTATGTTTCTCTTGTCATTGTTCTTTGCGTTGGCGAAAGCAAAATCAGAAAGAGACTGTTAAATAGGAGTTGGAAGTGAGGTTCTTTACGAAACTATACGAAAACTAAACTCTAGTAAGGACTAAATGTGTGAGGTGGAATAAAAAACCACTCACAATGTGACAAATGTTAGATGCACCGAAACAGTTCACAAAGTGAGGGCACCGTAAAATTTTCCTGGAAACTATTATCACAACATCAATTTATGATTACAGAGAATTTACTACTCTAAACTCATGTTTTTCCTTCACAAAACTTCAAGTAGATGTCCTTATACCATCAATTCCAAGTCACATTTTCAGTATAAGATAAAGACTTGGATCAAGTCTCATTTAAAAAACTAAATCTCTACACAGATGCATCATATACTCAAGGAACGATAGTAGGTGGATAAAATCTCAGATATCATGGTATGCAGTTTGTTGATGTCGCCGCTCATCTCCTTGAGACCTCCTCAAGTCTACCGCCTAAGGCAATGGTAGTGCATACTCTTCAATGCTATAGGGTGAAATTAAGGATTCTATAACCTAAAGGTTTAAGCTTTTACGGACAATTTCTGCAAAATAACCCCCTTGGCAATTGAGTAAAATTATTCAAGAATGTCTTGGTCAGTTTGATACCATCAAAGCAAAAGGCCATCAAATTTCTAGAGAATCAATCAAGATTCTCATAGTTCAATCAGTAATTACTAAATTTACTAAGAAGAGAAAAAGGAATTTTGAAAGTTTATTTAAGGACTATTGGAGATTTGGAGTAGCATTTTCCACTCAATGTACGTGTCTGAATGTCTATCTTACTTCGTATGAATGTTAAAAGATCTAAAGGGACTTATTAAAATCTCATAGCAATGTGTTGGTGTTTTTTGTTAACATATAAGTTCAGTGTGTTATACGAAGTGATTGGAAAATTATTATTAATTTCTGCCATTCAAATAGTGAAAAGGCAGTTTTTTTAACTTATAAGCAAAAGCGAATTAGTTTTATCTTCAAATTATCTAACAACTAAAAGTTAATATTTAATTACATGAAATGGACATCAAACCAGCTCACAATCTTAACTATAAATAAGGGCTAATAAATTAAAGTCACAACTAAAATTAGCACACAGTTAGATGATTAGAGCTGATCAAACTTGAATTGGTTGACAAAGAAAGAAAAAGTTTACAATAAACTATAAGAAGATTTACTTTACCAGCATCATTCCCTAAAGATGACGAGAGTTTGTGTGGCTGCCTCCAGAATCCAGAGCCTGGTTAGTTCAAGAGTTCGATAAGCAGTTCGGGAATTCAGTGAAGCTGGAAAAAAGTGTAATCATACTTGATGAAATGGAAATAAAGAGAGGCCAATTCCACTTCCTAATCATCTACTCGTAATAATAAAAATTAGTATATGTAGTTCCATTAAAGTGACAATAGACCAGTACTCACCATCTAACATTCAAATTAGGGTAAGAAATTTAAAAAATCATCGATTAGGGTAAAATTTTACAAGAAAAGGTAGCCTACCTGGCTACCTAGAGTCTTTGAGAAGTCGATTAAGCCACCCGTGGTTGCAATTTTGTTGAAGATTGGCTCTGCACTCTTCTAGGAGGATGTAGGGGAGAGGAGGGTGAGGAAGAACTTGCAAAGTTTGCAGGATGGAGCTCTTCTCCTTCCTTTGTCTTCCTTCTGGGTTCACTGCTCCTCGTACAGGCGGCCGAAAATAAGGTGCACCAAAACGTCCCGGAAGGTGCCTGCACCGTAAAATTTCCCTTAAACAAATTGCTGACATGGAATGCCCTCCAATTATATATAGCCACATGCAGTGTTCTAAAAGGTCCATAAAGGCGCCGCCAGGGCGAGCCTAGGCGCAAGGCGTTAACAAAACACCCCGTGTAGCCCAAAAACGTGACATAAGGCGTTCAAGCCCAAAAAATAACCCATAGAAGGGCTTAAAAGCTCTTTGACTGGCAAACACGGGGAAGCCGCGTTCACTTATTCCAACCGCATGGGGTGTCTATTATATATAGTGTTAGGAAGGAGGAATGTGTTCCTCTGTCCGGTGTGGGACGAAGTTTGCCAAACTAAGCTCCTAAGAAAATACGTAGTAGTTGGTATTTCATGAAAGCTAAATGATCAACAATTTTTACATGCAAGCTAAATGATCAACAATTTTTACTTCAGGTTTATAATTACTTCACCATTATTAGCATTATATTATAGAATCGTTATTACTTATTAATCGATGTAATATTTAATATTATTACATAACCATTATTAGAATTATTATAAAATCATTATTACTTGTATTTTTATTATGATTAATATTATCATTGAACTATTTTTATCAATACTTAAAATGTGTATACTATGTGCATTAGTGCGTGTTGTTTTTGGAATATAGCAGTTTATTTTGATTATAAAATGTAATAGTATGATGTTTTGCAAGATGGTTGCTAATATTACATTTATATATTAATATATTTCTACAAAATTAATTATTTAATAAATATTAAAATGGCTTTTAGTACACTCGACATTAATTCGTCTAGGCATCGGAGCCTTAAGGCTTGATGATTGTGTCGCCTCGTCACGTCTCACGGCTTTTAGAACACTGGATTAAAGAGATTGTAAATATATTCTTATATTCACTACAATGAAAAGTTTGAATGTAATTTCAATCATCAAAAGTTATGAAGTCACATGTTAACTATTGCCCTTATTTTGGTCATATATTAGAATTATTTGTTTTTATTAAACTACTTTTCTCAGTTATAGTTTTTTTGTAATTGATAAATTTTTACTTCATATTTGTTGGATTTACGACTCGACACATCTTTTTTTGTTAAAAATAAGAAAAGTATGATTGTTTTTGAATAACATTATTTAATATTATACTTAATATTTAAAATAGCTCTAAGAAAAATAAAATAAATGATAAATAACTAAAACGCTTTTTCACGCCTAAGCCCCGCCTAAACCCACCTAGGCTTCAAAGGCTTAAGGCTTGGCCGTCCCGCCTCGACACGCCTTACGTCTTTTAGAACATTGGCCACGTGTAGAGTTACCAAAACATTCTACAACAAGAGTGCACGAGAGAGCCTGCCATTATTTTTTCTCCTCCAATGCACTCTTTCTATAGTACCGTTATGCTGATGTGTAAAAGTTAAATAAAAACACTGTCGATCTTACTTTATAATTTCTCACCGCCGGTTAAACAGTATACCATGGGAGAGAAGGGGTATCGTGCCGCATCTTTTGCCGAATTTAGTTGAAAACTTCATGCATGATTGTTGCAGCGTAGCATCCGGGTACGAATAGGAAACTCAGTGCATTGGGAAGGTGGGTGTAGTCTAATGGATGACCATCCACCCTCAAGTCTCTCCTTTGTGGGAGGTCTTGAGTTCAATTCCCAACAAGGGAGATGAGGGAGGTCTTGCTCCCAATGATTCTCCCTACCTTCACGGAGTTGCTCAGCGGCTGAGAAGGGAGAGAATGATAATGAAGGTAGCGGGTTCGTGTGGTGGGAGGAGCAGCCTGAAAGGTGATGTAAGTCCTGCTGGATTCGTCCTTTGGAGCCAGTACTGATGAGGCTGACTGTGATCAGATCCGGACTTAACTGTCTAGGGGCTTTGGAGGGTAGTTCATAAACTCCGGGATTATGGGAGCGTAAGCCTCGACACCTGGATTATCAAAAAAAGGAAACTCAGTGCACAACTAATTATTTTAATTTAGTTGTAATTTAATTGATGTATATAAAAGCAAATAAATGCCATCTAGTCTTCACACTTGATTTATTGAAAGCAAGGCTGGCATTTTGAACCGAAAAACCGAAAACCGAACCGAAAATAACCGAACCGCATTGAAAAAACCGAACCGGACCGAACCGATAATTTTTGGGACCCGAAAAAAGTCGGTTCGAAATCGGTTTCCATACTCAAATTATCGGTTTGGACTGAACCGAAACGATTTAATAATAATAATAATAATAATAATAATAATGACCAGTAGTAATGACATTTACAAATGATATAATTTTTCCTGGCGTGCAGTATAAACATACTCTATGTATTAGTGTGTTGGTCGCGCACTCGATTCTCCTTTCAAGTGTCCCAGGTTCGACTCCCAACGACCCCATTTTGTTTCTAGCCTTTTCAGTTTTTTTCAGTTTTTCCTCCTCCACTATTTCGTCCCACACCGAAGACAATAAGAGGTTTGCTTCTCAAACACTTCTATATAACAAGGGACCTACTGCAGTTTAATATTGTGATTAGGAAGTCACATTATACGGATATTTCGTATTTCGGTTGTTGCTAATGGGGTCAATATTGTAGTACAAAAATTTGTTGGACTTATTGGGCTCTCTATTTCGATATTTCGGTTCCCAATTAAACCGAACCGATTTTTCGGTTCCCAAAAAACCGGTTCCCGATTCCATTTTGGTTCGGGTTCGGTTTCCATTTTTCCTAAAACCGAAAAATCGGTTTGGTTCTACAAACTGACAAATCGGTTCGGGTCCCAAACCGAACCCAACCCTAATTGAAAGTGCGCATTGGACCTGTTCTTTTATATTTTTTGATTTATTAGGCATAACGGTACTACCCGCACGGGTAACTCAGTTGATTGAGTGGTGGGAAATTTGGATCAAAGGACCAAAGTTCGAACCTCACAGCGACCATATGGAGGTACCCGCGGGAAATGGACTGGACCTCTGAAAAGGATTGGACCTCTGGCGTGCACGAGTATATGAGTCTACTGCCACTTCGCTGACTGAGTTAACGTGATTTACATCCTCCCGCGTGCCTTGTCGGGTCAGGGTGTGGGGCTCCGGGGTGGGAAATTCCACATTTTGGATCAAGGCGTAACAATACTGGATGACTTTTCCATTCATCTTTTCACACGTTTCATAGTTTTGCAATGTTGAAAGTTTAGGATGAGAGGAACATATTAGCTTGTGTTGCTCCCTTCCCCTCCGTGATCATAGTTTTTGCAATGTTGAAAGTTTAGGATGAGAGGAACATATTAGCTTGTGTTGCTCCCTTCCCCTCCGTGATCATAGTTTTTGCAATGTTGAAAGTTTAGGATGCGAGGAACATATTAGCTTGTGTTGCTCCCTTCCCCTCCGTGAGAGCGCTGCTTTCATCGTTCTTACTTTTCTAGGGTTGCCACTAAGCAACACTTAGCTTGGATTGTTCGGTGGTGATCGATCTGATCACGACATCGGTTTGCTTGTTCTTTCTGTTGTATCCTGGCACGGAAGAAGCAGATTTTGGGGTTCGGTCTAGACCTAGCCGCCGCGTTGCTTGGGCGGATGATTGCCGATTGATGCTCGCTCGTCTTGCTCGTTTTCTTCCCTTCGTCCAACTTCATAATTAAGGAACACAACCAACAATAGTGAAAAGGATGACATCATCGAGTGAAGGTCATGGATGGAGATTGGTGTTAAAAGCGGGAAGAGATCTGAATTCAAGGTCATCTGTGATTGGTGGAGAAAGTGGAGGCTTGCCAGAGATGGATGAGCAGTGGGCGTGTCCCCCTCCCGAACCGCCACCATGGAGTGCAAACGAGTGTAGGGTTTGGAAGAGGATGAATGAACTCTATTTTAATTTCGTTTTTTCCTATTTGTGTTTTTCTTTGGAATTGAATGTTGTTTTGGACGTGTTCTTATTTTCTAGCAGAGAGATTCTACATTTTAAATCAGGTGATGAGAAGTGTGGTTTGCCTGTCATTGGCTCAGTTAAGCCCATTACAGCATTAACAAATGTTATTGCTTCTACATAGGTGATGAATTCTAAGTCTGATTCAAGGGTGGACAAAAGAATGTTTGTCGCTTTGTTTCCTGCTTTTTATTTGATTGTATTATCGACCATGTGACCATCTTTTTGTTGAGTTAATATATTTTTTGGATTGAATGATAAAAAAAGGAGGTAAGAGTCAGTTTGGTCCTCGAAGTTGCATAAAAGGAGTCATATAAGTCCTTATAACGGGCTTGTTTGGCAATCAGCGGTTAGCGGTTAGCGGATAGCGGATTGAGTTAGCGGGTTTTAAACAGCGGATTGAATCAGCGGGTTTGACCGGCGGATTAGTTTGGCGGGTAACAAAAAGATGTTTGGTAACTTAGCTGTTTACTTTTAGCGGTTAATAACTAAAAAGACAAAAAAGGGCATGAGCATACACTAATATATTTGTGAGTTAATTAATTATTTAAAAATTAACAGAATAAAAATATACGAGTACAACGTAATATGTAAAAATGTGCTTCGTAGAATCTATGGGGTATATATTTACCTCATTGCATATATATAATATATGGATGTTTATGTAAAACAATTCCATCATAGATTAGATCATGACATGTACACCCATGTACAGGCGTTTAGCTGCCTCTACCGGCGAAATTGAATCCCAAGCCTACCACCAAAATCCAACCTGATTGCTAGCCAAAAATCGTTTGCTCGGAAATCAACTTGCTTCTCCGGTCGCTTAAAACACCGCCTCTGAATCAACCAATATGTCCCAAAGATTCCTATACTACCCTCCCCAATTGGACAGAACACCGGAATCAATCTGGCGCTGCCGCACAAATAACCCTACACAGAGGCTAGGCCATTGACGTACTGATTTGATCTACTTTAAAATTATGGCATAAAATATGTATCCGGTGATAGAGAAGAATAGGGAAGGTCTCCGTTTGCGGAAGTGAAGAATAGGAAGGGCAACCTTGACAATCAATTACGTATTTGGAATCCGCTACTCTAACGCTCCAAGTTGCAGCGATTTCATTTTCGGCGGTTCGGATGAAGACGCCGTAGTAATAGGCCATTTGCCAAACACTTAATTTCAGCGTGTTGGCCGATTAAAACCGCCGAATTCGGTCAAACCCGCTAATATTAGGCTAAAACGCCATTTACCAAACAGGGCCAACGTCTTTACTGTCTAATTTGACCGTCGTCATTTGGACAGTTTCCGCTGGATTTTTTTGATGAAATTTTTTGAGCTATCTATTTTCTGATTTACTCTTACCAAATTTCTGCCAAAACTTACCTCCAATCGCGCAGTCACGCAGGTGGTGTCCTTGGCGCCCTAGCCTCACCGAACTACCTCCAATCGTTTCCGTGTTCTCGCGCCAACCAGGTATATTTCCTTCCGTTCCTCCGTTTCTTTCCTTAGTTCCCCCCATCTTCCTCATTAATACCGGATGTTAATTGAATGCCTTGTGATTAATTTCTTCTTCAGTTATGATGTAAGGGCTCGTTCTCCGGACATGATGCTTTCAATGACTATAAAGTCGCTTTTGTGCAACTTTGAAAAAAGTTCCGCACTTCCTGCCGTCCTTTGCACTGTAAGAAACCCCTCTCTCTACTTCCCTTCCCCTGTCTGAGCTGGGTTTCAATTCCTTTTAGCTTCATCTGCTAACGGAATGTAGTTTGCAATAAGAATGAATTGAGAGGCCCTGGAACTGAGAGTAGGATGATACTTCGGTTGAAATGAGAATGAATTGAGAAGTGCTGCAATAGGATGTTCAAAACAATGTTCAAGGAAGCTTCCTTCTCTCAAAACAATTTATAATTTAAAGTCTGGCCTAGGGTAAATTAGTGTTATGCATTCAACTAAACCATTTTTCCTAAAATCGTTATCTGTATCATGTTGTGCTACGTATAATTCGTTAGAAATACTTAGGGGGGTGTCCTCAACAATGATTTTAAAGGATTTTAAAAGATTGTGGATTTCATGGATTTTAATGGAATTCTGAAGATTTCACAAACTCTTGTGGAATCCTATGGATTGATATGGTAGAATTATATGGATTTCTACAGATTTGCACCGGCAATGAACTTTGAATCTAGACAATTTCCTTCAAGCTCAATTTCCTCTCCAAAAACCACATCATTCGTCTCAGCTATGGAGCGTGGATAAAATGAGTAGCAACAACAACAGAACTATTCTTCTTCATTCTACGATACATTATTATTGGTCATTCTGGAGTGGTTTTCACATCTGAGACAGAGAAGATGCCATCATCCAGCTAGTAGTCATGAAATCCAACGAGAAAAATGCCATGGAAGCTTCAAGCTTGTTTATTCGTAATTCACCATCTGAGACAGAGGACGACTCCATCCTCTCCAAGCGTGCGTAATTCGCCGGCAACCTCAGAAGCCATGGACTCTTTATTTGCCCCTTTCTCCTGCCGGCGAATATGAAACTCTATTTGTCGATCTCTCTTCCGCTAAATTGAAATCCGAGGGGTGGATTTGAAATCCTAGAGGCGGATGCAATATTTCAGATGGAATTTTTTACATGTAAATTTCCTTCAAAATCCTTTAAAATCCACCCAAATAATAAATCATTGAAATCCATGGAACGTTTGAGAACACCCGTATTTTCATAGAGTCCATAAGAATCCCAATCCAGGACACCCAAATTTTGATGGAATTCTAAAAAATCCTGGTTGGGGACACCCCCCTTAATTTCTTTGATCCATAGTAGGTTTTTGTAAATATGTCTAAACAATATTTCTGAGTAAGTGGCATTTTATGTGTTTATAGAATAGTTATTTTTAAGGTAGACGGGCTTTTCATGTGAATTTATGTATTGGCATTTCTTATATCACCATTTATTTGGTTATAAAAAACTGATCAAATATTTTTTCACCTCCATATTTGTAGGTTTCTATTGCTATTGGTACGTCTATTGGTGCTGCAACAGGATGTTCAAAACTATGTTTTGGAAATGTTCTGAATTTATGTATTTAATGCTTTTGAGTTTATTTGTATTAGTTTCTATAATGAAAACCAAGTAGGTGGTCTCTATTTTCGTTTTAGACAGTTTTGTAACAGCTCGGCAGCTTCCATCAGAACACGCTAAACAAATCCATCGTTTTAAACAAAAAAACTAAGTCAATTGCAGCAGCCATATATAAATTTGAGTGATTAACTTAGTTGATGTGAAAAATAACTAAACCTTTTATATGCATCGCAATCACATTAATTCTCAATGTTTCTCTCAAAATTCGTGAATCCACTATCACAAGCTTAACAAATATGTGTCTTGACCAAAATGTGCAGCAACAGGATAACGTAAGTGTTTTCTCGGAATGAACAAGATGGGGTGAAAAGATTAAGTCACACTTTTTTACGGGAAAACGAATACTCTGAGTTAGCCTGAAGCCATCCATTTATCAAAAGAATCACTACCCTCTAAGTTACATTTTCTTGTTTCAGTTTGAACTTAATTAGCCCCTCATATTGTCAGATATGGTTTCTCATTGTCTCTTAGGTATTTCTGTTGAATCTGGTAGCTAAATGTCACAAGTGTGATGTCATTAATAGTTAGTAAATGTTAAAATGCTATATGATCTGACTGAAGTTAATGTGAGATATACTCGAGTTCCTCTAAGGATCTTAATGGACCTATTGAATTGTAATTGTGCTCTATGTTCGAGTTTATCTTGAACACTTCAGAACCATTCTATGTTTAGATTTCAAAGAGCTGGACCCCATAAAATATAAGAATGAACTGAGAGGTGCTGCCATAGGATGTTCAAAACGATGTTAGAAATCACCCAGTGAATTAAACCATATACAAGGCCATTAAAGGAAGCTTCATTGTCTCAACCCAATTTAAAGTCTGGCCTAGGGTAAATTAGTGTTATGTATTGAACTAAACATTTAACTTCTCTTCTGACTTCATTCAGCTAATAAAAACTATATTGAAACCCTTTTCCCCTTGCCCTACAATTGTGAAGTAATCACACTTTACAGCCAGTATTATACTTATTCTTATTATGGTACTTTAATAATAGAGAAATGGAAAGACGGGTAAAGTTAGTAAAGTGCTGCCGTTTGGAATTAGCGTATTTCAAGAAAAAAAAATTGTTTGCTTCGTAAGAGTCATGTATGGATCAAAGTCTGCTTAAAGATAATAGTGAATTTATGAAGTGACAATTTGACTTATCATATTGTACCATGTATATTTTCATATAGTTTTAGTTGCTTCATATTTTTGTTGCTTTATATTTTCACGTATGAAGCGCCAATTGTCAAACCACTTTTCCTAAAATCGTTATCTGTATCATGTTTTATGTATAATTTGTTAGAAATACTTAATTTCTTTTATCCATAGTAGGTGTTTGTAAATATGTCTAAATGCTATTTCTGAATAAATGGCATTTTATGTGTATATGGAATAGTTATTTTTAAGGTAGATGGGTGCTTCATATGAATTTATGTATTAGCATTTCTTATATCGTCATTTATTTGGTTCTAAAAAACTGATCAAATGTTTTTTCACCTCCATATTTATGGGTTTCTATTGCCATTGGTACGTCTATTGGTGCTGCAACAGGATGTTCAAAACTATGTTTTGGAAATGTTTTGAATTTATGTATTTAATGCTTTTGAGTTTATTTGTATTAGTTTCTATAATGAAAACCAAGTAGGTGGCCTCTATTTTCGTTTTAAACAGTTTTGTAACAGCTCGGCAGCTTCTATCAAAACACGCTAAACAAATCCATCGATTTAAACAAAAAAACTAAGTCAATTGCAGCAGCCATATATAAATTTGAGTGATTAACTTAGTTGATGTGAAAAATAACTAAACCTTTTATATGCATCGCAATCACATTAATTCTCAATGTTTCTCTCAAAATTCGTGAATCTACTATCACAAGCTTAAAAAATATGTGTCTTGACCAAAATGTGCAGCAACAGGACAACACAAGTGTTTTCTCGGAATGAACAAGATGGGGTGAAAAGATTAAGTCACACTTTTTTACGGGAAAACGAATACTCTGAGTTAGCCTGAAGCCATCCATTTATCAAAAGAATCACTACCCTCTAAGTTACATTTTCTTGTTTCAGTTTGAACTTAATTAGCCCCTCATATTGTCAGATATGGTTTCTCATTGTCTCTTAGGTATTTCTGTTGAATCTGGTAGCTAAATGTCACAAGTGTGATGTCATTAATAGTTAGTAAATGTTAAAATGCTATATGATCTGACTGAAGTTAATGTGAGATATACTCTAGTTCCTCCAAGGATCTTAATGGACCTATTGAATTGTAATTGTGCTCTATGTTCGAGTTTATCTTGAACACTTCAGAACCATTCTATGTTTAGGTTTCAAAGAGCTGGACCCCATAAAATATAAGAATGAACTGAGAGGTGCTGCAATAGGATGTTCAAAACGATATTAGAAATCACCCAGTGAATTAAACCATATACAAGGCCATTAGAGGAAGCTTCATTGTCTCAACCCAAGATAAAGTCTGGCCTAGGGTAAATTAGTGCTGTGCATTGAACTAAACATTTAACTTCTCTTCTGACTTCATTCAGTTGATAAAAACTATATTGAAACGCTTTTCCCCTTGCCCTACAATTGTGAAGTCATCACACTTTACAGCCAGTATTATACTTATTCTTATTATGCTACTTTAATAATAGAGAAATGGAAAGACGGGTAAAGTTAGTAAAGTGCTGCCGTCTGGAATTAGCGTATTTCAAGAAAAAAAAATTGTTTGCTTCATAAGAGTCATGTATGTATCAAAGTCTGCTTAAAGATAATAGTGAATTTATGAAGTTACAATTTAACTTATCGTATTGTACTGTGTATATTTTCACATAGTTTTAGTTGCATCATATTTTAGTTGCTTTATATTTTCACGTATGAAGCGCCAATTGTCAAACCACTTTTCCTAAAATCGTTATCTGTATCATGTTTTATTATGTATAATTTTTTAGAAATACTTAATTTCTTTGATCCATAGTAGGTGTTTGTAAATATGTTTAAATGCTATTTCTGAATAAATGTCATTTTATGCGTATATGGTATAGTTATTTTTAAGGTAGATGGGCGCTTCATATGAATTTATGTATTAGCATTTCTTATATCGTTATTTATTTGGTTATAAAAAACTGATCAAATGTTTTTTCACCTCCATATTTGTGGGTTTCTATTGCTATTGGTACGTCTATTGGTGCTGCAACAGGATGTTCAAAACTATGTTTTGGAAATGTTCTGAAATGCTTAGTTTTATTCTTTCATTAACATAAGGAAGGCTGACCAAAACTGAGATTAGTACTCACTGCGTAAGAGATTCTACACCTTTTCATATCTTAGGCCAGACTTTGTTTTGAGGGAAAAAACTTTTTTTTCATATCCTGGGCGATATGAAAAGGTGTTTGGTACTGATGTTTTAATATACCCTAAATCCTATTATTTTACTGGAGTTATATCCTCCGTTCTTAGTGTGTTTCCAAGTCAAGCTATCATAGGCCATTCTTATCTAAGCTTAAAAGGCCCTTATTTGTGAATCTTACAGAGTCTTCTCTCCATATATATGACTCAGTAATATATATGAACTGAGAAGAATTCAAATAGGAATATGAAGCCTCTGTTAGAAATCACCCACGAATTCCACCATAGGGGCATTAGGGAAGCTTCCTTCTCTCGACCCAAAGCCTCGCCTTGGATAAATTAGTGTAAAATACATGTAGGTGATGTAAGATTTTATTCTGATTTTCTTTCAATGCTTTCTTGGCACTTCACATAAGAAAGGCTTCATTGTGAAAGGTACACAGTTTTATTGACATTGTTTTTGTTTAAATAATATTTTTGTTGTATGCTGTTATGCGATACTTGTGAATGACATGTTAGCCCTTTTTATTATCTCTTTTAATTTGTAAACTACTGCTCCACTTTAATAATGTTTTCGTTTATTAAAGATGTCACTATCATTAACATTTGGAGTAGCAGACACAAAAATATGCAGCTCCTAACCCACATTTTCACATGCTCTCTGAAAACCATTTCTCTGTTTCAAAATTTTGAAAAGCATTTCAATTTGAAGTCAAAGTGGATTGTGTGTGCACATGTAGCAATAATCTGTCAGTAATGCATCATTGTATCCTTAACTGCACACTATGAGAAAATTAAAATTGGAATGTAAGGATTCCCAAACAAGCTATTGCTTAAGACCACTAGTGTATTTAACACAGTGGTGAAAGTGTGGAAACAACATTAAAAACATCATGGATGATTTAAAATGGTAAAAATAAAGAAAAAATACTCAACCAAATTCCCCAATTCATTCCAGGGAAAATAAAATATGTGTAAATCGGTAAATCCATTAAAACAGCTATAAATTAGGGAAATTAAAGCGCTAATGATGAAGAAGTGTACGTGGAATGGCAAATGTGAAATCAATGAGTATTGGGTAAAGTCAAATGAAAGGAAGGCCGACAATTAAAAGACAATGTCACTGTTTTCCATATACCTTCTATTTTCATTTAGTCAACAAAATGAGACCTATAAGTTTCTCCCAGCCATGCCCTAATCCCCTTCCCACATGTGTTTTTCAATTACACATACTAATGGGTTAGAAATTTATACAGAGAGAAATAAGCAATCTGGTACAGCCTACAAAAACACTAATCTGTCTAGACTTCCTAAAGATAACATTGAAACGATTTCCGAATTCAGTTAGTTTTATTTTGTGTTCCATTTTCAGTTAGTTTAATTCAGAACTACCGAGCAAAATATAATGAAAAACAACTTCTAGGAACCCTTATCTCTATTTTTCTTTTGTTACCTTTATGTGTCTCTTTCTTTAGTTCTAGCGATTTTGGATTGTTCTTAGTATTTTAAAACCTTATCTCTTTTATTACAGGCATTCTTGTTGATATTCTTCTCAAATCTCGGTGACGAGACCTTCTTTATTGCAGTATGGGGTTCTTCTCTATTAATTCTTAGTCAGTTTTATTGTCCTAGCAGATATTCAGTGTTATAGACTAATTTTCATTTTTCAAAATATATTTGCAAGCTCTTCTGGCTGCTTGAAACTCTTCTGCAGTCATTGTTTTTTGGGATTTTGGTGCACTAATGTAAGTAATTTGCTTCTTCCGCTGAGATGGCATTAAACTGAAGTACTGAACTATTGTTAAGAATATTGTCTCAGGGTAATGACAATCATATCTGCTGTCATTGGGCGTACATTTCATTGTGTGGATGATATCCTTCCATTCAGCTAACTCATACATTTCTATACGAAATTGCAAAAAGTAGTCTTTGTTTAGAAGGTAGTTGGAGGGGATGGGCTATTTATATCAATCAAAGAAAATATTACTTCAACTTTATAGTTTTTCAAAATTGAAGTATTGAACATATAAAATGATGTATTAGTATATAACCAATGTGTTAATCACTTATTTTACCGTGAAGGCGTAAACAATGCACAATTTGGTTAGAGGAAAATTTATAACCCCCATTCCATGGACCTCTATTCCAATTTCCTAAACATACCTTGGTATAGTGAGAGTCAACTGTTATCTATCTAACAAATAGATGACCGGAGACACTGTTTGTAGAACCATTCTCTTATCTTTGAATCTTGTGATCTTGCTGATGCATTTAAAAACCTTAGATGGAGAAACCTTATATAGTAAATGAATATGCTCACATGCCTTAACTCAATAAATATCACATTTCTATGGTGATATTTATCACATTTCTATTCCAACACTTTGCCTATAGATAACTACTTGGGGACAAAATAAGAAATATAAAATAAGTAAATAAATAAAGAAGTACACTTGGCTAAAAGCCTAAAAGTAGTAGTATTAAGTATTAATAGAATAATAAAACATACCCTATTTTCTTTGAGACATATATTTTCTTTTGCTCCTTTCTTTTCTAAAATAAAGAAGAGCTTTCTTTTAGACTTGTATTTTCTTTGTTCCTTGATACGTAGTATTATATTTCATTAAATAAAACCTACCCTCTTTTCTTATGTCTCTGTTGTTTATGAGTACCACACATATGAGGCTTTGACCTACAAAGAACCATAGGAAATATGACTCATGCTTTGCACATAAAGTTATTTGCTTGTTTAGATGACTAAATTTTGCGTCTTTTTCATATTATGGGCTTATGAAGAAAATTACAGGGAATATGACTCATGCTCTGCACATATGGAGGCTGAAAGTACAGAAAACGAGATTGGTGTTGTGAAATTGATGGGGCACTATAGTGCCATAGTGGTACTTCTCATTATAATTCATTAATATATGAATCAGTTTGTATTATACTGTATGTTATAGTTCATTGTATTTATATGCAAGATTAGGACCTTTTTCAGGATTCATAAGTGATGTATGCTGCGCTTTCCAACAGAGATGTGGACTGCTGCTTTATTCCAGAATCACCTATTCCTTTAGAAGGGCCAGTTGGACTTTGTAAATACATAAAGGGAACACTGCGGGAAAATAGAGACATGGTGATTGTGATTGCTTAAGGTACAGGGTAGGAGCTGCTTTCTGATAGCAAGCAAGAAAACAAAACAAAATAACAACAGGAATCATCAGGGAACAAGTTGCTCCCAGATGTTGGGCTTTGGTTATCCCAAAAGATCAAGGTACTGATGCGGAATTGTTCTTATATAATATATTCCCTCAGGTCATTTTTACTCTTCTGCTCTTTTATTACTAACCAACACTGTTACAATTTATTACCATACCATATGGATTTAGTGGTTTTTCATTTTCATCCTAATTGATAACTCATATCAATGCAAGTGTTCATTAATATGAGGTTTATTAATAGATAGCATTGAGAAAGGTAGTAAATTAGTAATTGATTCAGCATACCGAATTGTTTTATTTTAAATTAGAAAAATAAGGCCTGGAATTTCTCTTGGATTGCATGTTTTTTAGGTCCTTCATGATGAAGGAATGTTAAACAGTGTATTGTTTGTAGCTATAAATGTTAACATGTCAAATACTAAAAGTAATCGAAATCTAAAATATATACTCGTACAATATTCATTTGTTCTAACAAAAAAATGCATTGGGCATTTGCCCTATCGTGCAACGCGCGTGCTAAAAACTAGTCGTTCAATAATTGTTAAATTTTCGTTGTCATGACAAGCAAAAGAAGATGGCTGTCACATTTCACAAGAACCGCTGTGTTTTGTCCAGACTTCAAGCTAATTACCAGACTACTCTCTTCATCCTCATCAAATTGCTTTCAAACTGGTGATGCCAGCATTTACTCGTTCAACAGAGCCATTGATAAACTAATCAAGTATGGATCGATCGAGTCAGCCTTACAACTGTTCAATGAAATGCCGGAACGTGATGTCATCTCCTGGAACACTGTAATTAATGGGCTGAATCAATCTGGATTTCAGAGGAAATCTCTTTGCTTATACAAGAGAATGATCTCCCAAGGAATAGTTGAGAACTCCTCCACATTTTCCTCTGTCTTGAGTATATGTAATAATGCAGGTTTTTACAGACAAGGGTTTGAGATGCATTCTAGAGTTATAATCTTTGGGTTGAATGATAACATATACATTGCTAGTGCACTTGTTGATCTGTATATGAAAGCGGGTCTTGTAGATCTTTCTTTGAAGTTGTTTTATGACTTACCAGAAAGAAATTTAGCTATATGGAATGTTGTATTACGTGGAATTAGTGATGTAGGTTGGTCCAAGGAGTTATTGAGCGCTTACAATGATATGAAGTTGGCAAATGTGGAACCTAATGAACTTAGTTTTTGTTATTTGCTTCACGGTTGTGGTAGTGGGAGACTTCTTCTTCAAGGAAGGCAACTACATTGTTTTGTTTTGAAGAATGGATGGTTAGTTATGAATGTGTTTATAGCTAATGGTTTGATTGATTTCTACTCTGCTTGTGGGGTCTTAAGTGATGCCAGGGAATTGTTTGTTGCTATTCCACCACAAGATGTGATATCATGGAATTCAGTGGTTTCTGTCTATGCTTCCCATGGTCTTTTACATGATGCTTTGAAAGTTCTTGAAAAACTGCAATCTTTGGGCAAGAGGCCATCAGCACAATCTTTTTTGGGACTTTTAAATGTATCAAGTGTGAGAAAACATATGCTGCTTGGAAAGCAAATTCATTGTTGTGTCCTAAAATTGGGACTTGATTGTGGAAATGTCCTTATTCAGTCTGCATTGATTAATATGTATGGAAAGTGTGGTCACATTGAAGGTTCCGTGTCTTTATTTGAGAATGCACCTGAGTCAACTCTTGAATGTTGCAACTCCTTGATGACTTCCTTACTGCACCACAACGTTATAAAGGATGTATTTGAACTGTTCTATTTTATGCTTGATGAAAGCATCGGATTTGATGATGTAAGTCTGTCTACAGCTCTGAAGGCATTATCACAGTCGGCCTCTGTAAGCTTGAATAGCTGTGGTTTGCTTCATTGTTGTGCAATAAAATCAGGGTTTGAATCCGACATTGTAGTTTTGTGCTCACTGATAGATACATATTCAAAATCTGGTCACATTAAACACTCTCAACAAATTTTCAGGCAGGTTCTTTCGCCAAATGACATATGCTTCACTGCTATGATTAACGCATATGCAAGGATAGGGAAAGGAAGTGAGGCACTTAAGATGTTTGAGTCCATGATCCAAGAAGGCCTACAACCCGATGAAGTAACATTCTTGTGTGTATTGATTGGATGTAGCCACTCAGGCATGGTGAAAGAGGCAAGAACAGTCTTTGATTCAATGGACACAGTTCATGGAATCAATCCAGACAGACGGCATTTTTCATGCATGGTGGACCTTCTAGGTCGCATAGGCTTGGTAAGTGAGGCAGAAGAGTTGATCAATTGTGCAGCGATTGAGGGAGATTGTGTCATGTGGAGTTCACTCCTACGTAGTTGTCGTACTCATAGAAATGAGCGAGCTGGAAGGAGAGCTGCAGAAAAACTGATGGAACTTAGGCCAGATGACCCTGCTGTTTGGTTTTTAGTCTCAAACTTTTACGCTGAAATTGGGGACTTTGATGCCTCAGCGCAGATGCGGGAGGTTGCAGTAGCCAGGAAGATGAGTAGGGAAATTGGCTATAGTTTAATTGATAAAAGTAGGTATCATGTATACAGCCCCTGAAAGTTGTTACATTTAGGTGATTTAGCATGCTATACCTAAAAGCACTACATATGAGTGAGAAATTTCTCCTGCTGAGTGCTAAGGTTTAATAGGTAATTTCTCCCTCCGCATTTCTCCTATTCACCCTTGCCGGTTGAATCCATCAATGCCCCACACCTCGCGCCTCTATCAAGGTAACCGAGCCCTCCATTAACGGCGTTGACCTGCAAATGAGCGCCCACACCCTCTAATCTGAAATGAATTCTTGTTCGGATGTCTTCTATATTCATCCAGGTTAACTTTTTTCTTCTTCTTTTCTTTTCTTTTCTATATTCATCCAGATTAACTTTCTTTTATCATACTACCTCCGTCTCTTAAAACTTTGCCAAGTTTGACCGGCACGGGGATTAATAAAGTAAAAACTGTGTGGTCGAGGTTTGTGCAGAGGAGAGAGAATTAACTGGAACCACAAATTCTTTACTTAAAAGGGAAAGTGTCAAAGTTAGTGAGACATCCAAAAAAGGAAAGTTGACAAAGTTTTAAGGGACGGAGAGAGTATTATATATTGTCCTTTCCTTAGATATTTGCTTTTTTAATTAATTTTAGTTTTCATGTTGTGTGTAAATTAACCGAACCATGTCCCTCAATCTCAAGTCTGCTACGGATGGTAAGCCCTAAAAGAGATTATTCAAACCTGTTTTGTTAGACGTAAATATAACTTCAGCATATAACCTCATCCATAGTAATCTAATCTTGTTTACACTCCAAGAGAGTTCAGGTAAGAAGGCTAAGTACAGACCTAAGCCTTTTCCCTCAATCCCAAGTACACACAGATGTAATTGTAAAAGGGTTTAACCTTGTTTACAAAAAACAACTTGCAGATTAATTTGAAGTTAATACCATTTGTAGTTGGCCATTTACTTGAGGATGATCCGGTTCTTAAATTTATACTTTTCAATTGAGCATGAATTTAATTTCACAATGACATGGTTTGTATCAAGCTTTGCAGTGTAGATAAGCCAATGTTTGTGTTGGCAATGATACGTTAATATATGAAATAAACGGCCATCCTCCCTTCATATGTGGTCATGATTTTATCCTCTTTTTGACAGGTTTTGAGCTCGGACATATATCATATGCAGCTTGAGAGCAGGTTTATTGGTCTTTGGGTCGATTTTAGGCAGTTTAGAGCAAGTCCACAGGCTGATTAACATCACGATTTATCGAACTTCAGTTAGGTTGTCTTACATTTGAGTGGTTGTCATTAGTCTATTACATTTTCCTGCTGCAATTGGACTTGAGAGCAGGCATTTTGGGCAGTCAAGGAAAAAGCACACTCCTAACTATATACATATTATTTTGTCTCCTGATGTACTTCCTTTCCTGATTTGTGCGTATAAAATTGTCAGAATGAAATTGGGGCTAACTATATATTAAGAAGTTTACCTATATATAGAGAGAAAGGCAGTTCATATCAGGTTGATCTGACAAGACTCACCGTCCAGCCAAGTTTAATTGACACGAGAAATAATAAAGTTAAAATTGTCTAGTTGAGATTTGTGCAGAGGAGAGAAAAATAATCGGAATCACAAATTGATTGATCAAAAGAGAAAGTGATAAAAATTTTCGAGACAATAAAAAAGAAAAAATGAAAAAAATTTAAGGGACGGATGGAAGGAAAATTAGAGCCACATTTTATCATAATCTGCTATTAGTTAGTGTTTGAAAATACCACAGAATTTAATATTTCTAATAATATAACTACATTTAAAAGTTAGAAATCTAATAAAAATGAATGCATTCTTCAAATTCTAAACTAACCTATATGAGTAGAAGTCTAACATTACTAAAAACACTAAAATTTTATCCTATACCTAAATAGCCAATCCCTCATCCCGTGTATTTGCTACTATATATAAATGGAAGATCCTGGAATATTTTATAGCCCCAGTAAAGCCAAGCCACATTGTTTTGTGTAAAAGGGGTTGATTTTTTATTTTATTTGATAATTCAGGTGTCGGGGCTTACGCTCCCATAATCCTGGAGTCTATGAACTATCCTCCAAAGCCCCTAGACAGTTAAGTCCGGATCCAGCAGGACTTACATCACCTTTCAGGCTGCTCCTCCCACCACATGAACCCGATACCTTCATTATCATCCTCTCCCTTCTCAGTCGCTGAGCAACTCCGTGAAGGTAGGAAGAATCATTGGGAGCAAAACCTCCCTCCTCTCCCCTAAATGTGCGTAGCGGGATTCGAACCCGAGACCTCTGCTAGGACACGGTAACCTTCCACCCAGTGAGCTGAAATGGTTGATTAGAGGTTGAAATTATTTAATGATAGAAGTTGGAGTTGAGCTAAACAAAGGATTAGAGTATAAAGGGGACGTTTTAGGCGCCGACTTCTATGCATCAGTTGCTCTGGTGAAGTGATATAGCATTGCATATCCTGATAAAGTAGGGGATCTCCAAGAGGGAAAAGACGACAATGGCCAGAAGAAGAAATAGTACATGAAACAATGGACGACTACTAATAGTGGACAGTGGTGGACTCTGTTCGGGCCTTGAACCAGCCGGACCTCGGTTCACGGTATGGGAGACCCGGAATCGGCCCGGATAACCCCGGGTCCGGTTCGGTTCGGGTCACCCGCCCGGTTCACGGGCCGGGCCGCCTGCCGGGCCGGGCCTTTTAATTTTTTTTTTTTAAAATTATGTATTATATTATTAGAATAATTCTTATTACAAAAATAATTTGAAGTTGTAAGTTTGTAATCAATCAATTAATTTAAGTTATAAGTTTGAGCATTATTGAATTGATGCACACAATAATATAAAATAATTCATGTATATTTATTTCAAATAAGAAGTACAATTCAGAATTAGGATGAATTTAAAAAATGTAATACATTTTGTAATAAAAAATCAATCGGAATCTCCGCCTTCGATTGTTTCCTCCATAAAGTGGCGGGTGGGACTGATGGTCATTTCTTGAGTTCTTCGTTGGGCCTTCAACCAATCGTGGAAGCAAACTAGCGTCTCAAGAGAGCTCGGGCTCAACCTCGTTCTATAATCGGTTAGGACGTTGCCGGCCACACTAAATTCGTGTTCCACGACAACGGTTGATATCGGCATTGCTAGCACTTGCTTAGCCATCTTTGATAAAATCGGGAACGTTCTTTCATTTTCCTTCCACCACTTAAGAACATCAAAGTCATCCCCAACTTCATAATCAACATTCAATGTTAGATACAAAGAAAGCTCGCTACCTGAGCTTTGTTCAGTAGCGAGAGTTGCTCTACTTTTTTTCAAAAGAGAACCAAAAGCGGATTTTAAAAGTCAGGACCGTCTTTGGGAATTTTGGTGCCCTAGACAAAGAATGAACCGTGATTCTTATTTTCATTTTCGACATCAATATTTTTATACATGTGTTTATCATATTTCTCTAAATTCTATTCTATATCGAAGGATAAGGTTTTTTTGCATTCCTATTCATAGAAGCCGCAAAAGATTGTACGACTTTATTTTTTCTAAAATTTTCTCTCAAAAGTCACATAATATTGCTTCCATCGATCATAGCAAAACAGTAAAATAATAACGTAGCACTAATTATTTATATTAAGGAAAATTCTCAATATAGGAGTAAAAATGTTTGAGAATTCCAAAATAGAACGATCATGTTTTTATTTTCTAAATAGAAATAATTACTATCAAACATGGAAAATGTTGTCATGTTTAAAGTATGGTACTACCAAAATATGAAAGTAATTACTTCTATTTAGAAAATAAAAACATGATAATTCTATTTTGAAATATACAAACGTTTTTAGTCATATTTAGGACAATTTCCGTTTATATTGTTATTACGGAGTATTATACATTAGTAAATATAACTTATAAAGATCAAATTTCAGAATAACTCTAACAAAAATAACTTTAAGTATAAATTCATAACGCAAATTTACAAAGAAAAATCACAATCGATAATTCGATTTTCTTTTCCAAATTTTCTAATGCTACGTTTTCATTTTAATTAATACATATGTACACTGGTCCAGCCACCTCCTTTTGAGGTGGTTCCCGGTCGTATTTTTGGCTGAAATTTTTTGTGTATCTTCCTCATCAAGTCTAGTTCATTCATACCAAAATTGGGCAAAAATATCAATCAGGAAGGTCCTGAAATGATTTTTTCATGATAACTGCGTTTTATATGTATATTATGGATCAGATATCATGAAAAACTCATTTAACGATCTTCTCGGTTGATTTTTTTTGCTCAAATTGGGTATGAATGAACTAGACTTGATGAGGAACATACACAAAAAATTACAACCAAAAATACGACCGGGAACCACCTCAAATCGAGGTGGTCGAACGACCAGACAGGAAAAGGACTCCACTAAGTAATACCAGTTTGTTTTTTTGGAAAAAATGGTGCCCCTCTCAAATTGGTGCCCTAGGCAATTGCTTATCTTCCTAGGGCCCAAAGCCGGCTCTGTTAAAAAAGATTTTCCTTTAGATGAAGAAGATGTTCGTGGCATGGGAGGGGGTGCATTAACATATTGTGCATGAAATTCATTATACAATTGATTAAAATAAATTACTAACCTCGTTGAATTCTTGTTTAGGGTCTATGGGATTATCATCGAACTCTTGAGTTGGAAAAAAAGAAGCATAATAGTAATCTATACAATTTACCAAGTAAACAAGTTTATAACGAGGATCAAGAACAAATGCAATACCATATATATGTGGAATATGTGAATAATATTTTAAAAACTTTTGTTTCATGAAATCACAAAAATAACTAACGTAAGCGGCATCGAAAAATTCACAAAAAGCGCCGGCGAGATTAACAGCTTCAACAAAAAATTCGTTTGCGGTAGGTTTATAAACATGACTAAAAGTTTGAGTTGCGTTATTAAAATATGCCAAAACATTAACAATTTTTTCACAAGTGTCGATGTCAGCCGGGTTTATAATATAGTTACAAGTTTGTCTTAAAAAGCAGGAAAATGCTCTTTATATCTAATAAGTACTTGAATTAAATTATAAGTACTATTCCAACGAATAGACAAATCTTTAGGAAAAACACAATAATTGACACGTCTATCCTTCAAATATTACCGTCATTTCATTTTTAGTGGAGTGCTAGCCCAAATCAATTTAATTCCACTCTTCACTACCTCCAAAGCATTTCCTAATGCCGCTAAGCCATCTTGTACACACAAATTTAGAATATGACATGAACAACGTTGATGAAAAAACCTACCCATCAATGTAGAAGCACCACACAATTCACGCAATCTAGGTATAGCAGCAGTATTATTACTAGAATTATCAAAACCTACAGCAAACACCTTATCAATAAAATTATACTCAATTAAAATACGCTCAATTAGAATATAAATATTATCAGCAGTGTGACGATCATTGAATTCACGAAAAGCAAGAACACGTTTATGCATATTCCAATCATCATCAATATAATGTGAAGTAAGACCCAAATAATATAAATGATGATAAGTATCCTCCCATATATCGCTACAAATACTAACACGTCCATCAAAGTTTACGAAAAATGTTTGTAATTTTTCTTTTTCCAAGTTATATTGCCTTATAACTTCTTTTTTAATCGTTTTGCGACTATAATTTCTAAATTGAGGATTTAAAGTACCTTGAGCATAATCTCTTAAAGCAAGACTTTCGGAAAAAATATAGGGTAAATTTTCTTCAACAATTAAATGAGACATACCAGTCAAATGTTTTTGATCATCATAGGAGAAATTACCAAATGATTGAGAATTTGCAAACCTCGATATTTGTGTTTGCTTCCCCTTGCCTTTGTCTATTTTCGCATACTCCACAAAGTGGGCGGACTTAAGATGCCTTGTGAGACTCCCGTATCCGGCAGAAGTTCCCAAGCTATACTCTTTGTTGCAATGATTGCAACTTGCGTACCATTTTTCGGTATTTTTGTCTTTCCTTTTTGTAAAATTGTTTTCAATAATAGGAGATTTAGATTTCTTACCAATTTGGGTTGAACCGCCCTCATCCTCCAACTCTTGCTCATCATCCGGGGTGCCGTGAGTCCCGTCGCCCCCCGCGTTCTCCTTCACATCGTCATCCTCGAGCTCCTCTTCATCAATGGTTGTCGGGAATTGTTGTTCTTGTGCAAAGCGTGGATCATTTTGGGACAATAGGTTTTGTAGTTGCTCATCGGGCATCATCATATCATCTCGCCGTTTGTAATCCGTTTCAAAATCATCTCGACTTTGAAAACAAGACTCGGCCCACGCTTTACCTTTGCCTTTGCGTGAAGTAGATCGAGTCAACACAATCTCCCTCTTGCGGTTGCGTTGGAGATTACCCACATCTACAGAATGTCTACCACGCTCCATCTTTAAAATTGAACAAATATTAAATGATATCAAATATTTTATATGAGTACAATAGTAATAATAAAATGTGACTAAGAAAACTATAGCAAATTCGAACTAAAATATGAGTATATTTTAGTGTAAGAATTTGTTTTCCTTGAAAAAAAATCGAATTACTTCTAGTTTTTTACTTTAATGAGAAATGTAGCAATTAACTAATATGAGAAATGTAAAAATTAACTACTTTTTTTTACTTTTATATATATGTAGAAAAAATTTGGAAAAGATGAAGAATGAAGATGATTGAATATGAGAGATTGAGAGAAAAGAGAATTTAGAGAGTAGGAAGAGTTGTAGAAGAAGAGGTGTAAAAAATGTATAGAAAATAGGAGTATAAATAGGTTTTTTTTGTATACCCCACCCCCTAACCCCCCCAGACCCCCCTCCTATGCTCCCAACGGCTATAGAGCCTTTAACATTTTTTTTAAAACTTTTGACCGTTGAGGCCCGGACCGGGCCCGGCCGGGCCGGTTCACTATATAGCAGGCCCGGGCCTAAACCGCTATCTCACCGGACCGGGTGGCCCGAACCGGGCACTAACCGCTTCACCAGGCTGGTCCGGGCCCGCACAGTAGCGGGCCGGTCCGGTTCCGGGCCGGTTGGCCTGGCTTGAGTCCATCCCTAACTACTAAGAATGGCTAATTATGTTGAGCAGGGTTGGGTTTTGGTACAAATAATCTAGTACCGAACACTAGAGATGAAGGGTTTATTTTGGATTAGGTACTTCACGAGAAAAAAAAGTATTTTCTTCTTCGCATGTTGTCAAAACCCTCCACAGAAACTAACACTAGAACTGTAGCCCGTGTTTGGTTCAAAGGAGGGGAAGGAAGGGAGATGCGGGGTGGGAAGGGGGAGAGAAGGAGAAGGAATAGTTTTCGAGCCGTCAAAATGGATCTAAACCCGCGGGCTGGCCCGTTTAAACTCATTTATTGGTGGGTAAGGGTTGAGAATTTCTGACCCATTTAGTTCGCGGGTTTCGCGGGTCAACCAACACGGGTTGTGGGTTAATGTGGGTTGACCCGCTGGGTTGCGTGCAGTGTTGGCCCGCGGGCCAAAATACAAAAATATAGTTTTGAATTTTATTATCTTAAATATTGTCCTTTTATTATAATTACAAATAAAAAATTACAACCATGGCAAAACAATATCTGTTTCGATAATAAATATTCAAATAAAATGTTGAAACATATATTTTATGTGAAGTTCGATACAATATTTAACAATTAGTAATCATTATTTACAAATAATTATTCAAAAGGTTTATGTAGATCTTTATTTTTATACAATGAGTATTTTGTTGCATACTAGTAATTTTATTTAATATTTATCAAAAGGTTTATGTGGATTTTTTTATGTAGATCTTTAGTTTTCAAATTCTTGTATAACTAGTATTTAATACGTAGTATTTTTTAATTAAACTTAACAAGTATTGAATTTTTAGTATTTTGATTTCTTATATTTCCTTTGTACTATTTACTAATATAAATATATACTGGGTAATTTTTTTAATATTTTTTGTTATATATATTTTTTACATTATTGGCCCGCGGGCAAACCCGTTTAACCCACGGGTTAGGTGGGTTGGGTTAGAGTTGTAGAAATTTTGGCCCATCATTAAACGAATTGATCCGACCCAATCCACATAGAGCATAATCCGTTACGAGTCGGATCGAGTTGGATCAGGTTGACCTGTTTGACATCTCTAAATAGTTTGACAAAGTTATCCTCCAAAATATCCTGATATCGGAAATTTAAAGTTCAAGAGAGTGGAGGCATTTGAAAATCATCTACCCCTTCTCCTTACTTCCTCAAACCAACCACACATGAATCATTCACTCTCTTCCATTTCCTTCAAAATCCTCATACTAACCAGAGCCTAATTAAGGGCGGGGAAGCGTACAATTATATACTTCCTCCGTCCCGTTGGAAGGTTCTCATAGCAAAACGGTACGATTATTTAGGCAAAAATTAAATAAAGTACTTCGAGTACATTTTGAGAAATAATTTTAATAGGTATTTATTATAATGTAGTTATAGTATTGATAACTTTGATGTTATAAATGTATTATTTTTTATATTTAATGATTAATTTATAACTTAAGATTGTTAATTGTTTCCTAAAATGGAAATGAGAACCTTCTAACAGGACATCCCAAAAAGGAAAGTGGAAACCTTCTAATGGGACGGAGGGAATATATAATTGATTTGAATTTGAATATTTATTAGCAAGCAAGAGATTCTTTGACAACCTGAAATGAGAGAAGCTTTCAAAAGTTGCCTGTCAATACCATTACGCATAGAATTATTATTCCCTCCGTCTCAGGTTCCAATTACGGTTTACGATGCTTGAGTGACGATAAAGTAACTTAATCACTGTTCCCACTTTGATCATATTTAGTAAATAAAATTTACATATTCAAAAATTACATTAAAACTGCTACAAAGCCTGATAAAAAATGTAAATTTGTTAAAAATTTGATATATAAAGCAAAAAATTAAGAATGATTTAAGTTGACCATGTGAATAGTGGACGAAACGTTTGATTTGGATGGGTGGAGTACAAGTTTTGTGGAACCAAGATAAATGAGGGTTTTAAAAATTCAAGTGTGCCACCTTGTTCATTAGACAACTATTCAGTTATTATTAAAGAAAATTACTTAATAGGATTAGAATATAGATAAAGTACACAAATAAAATTACTATTGTTTTTCTAAGATTTGGTTGCATCTCTATGTTAGGGAAGGTGTTCTACTCATCTTATTCTTATTGTGTATTGCATATTCTTATTTTTATTCAGTTTAGATCAGAAAATTTAGATCAGATCAAAAGATTTAGATCATATCACATGAGAAAAATACACAACATATCAGAAAATTCAAACATGATTTTCTTTAATAATATATATATGTATATTTTTATAATCGGTATTATAATTAGGACCATTCAAAGTTATTGTGGTTATGATTATTAATTAATACCATTATTGTTTTTATTTATAACATATTATAAATATAAACTTGTTATTAATATTTGAGGAATAATAATAATAATAATAACATTATTGCAAAATGATCATACTTTAATATGTGTTAATTTTCCTTATTATAGAGACATAAATGTCAAACGGAGAAATGTCAGCAAAGACACAAGTTTGATCTGGAACTACGTATATTCTTATATGTCTATGTGTACAAATGTGAGATTACTATGAATAGGAAATCTTTATCATCACCCCATTACCCCCCAACTGGATCCCAATTCCCAAGTAATATCTATCTAGTCATTGCATTTTCTTAAATTTCATATGCTTATCTTAGAGGAATATTAACCTTTGAATCAAAGATATTATTGATTTTACCCGTGACACTATATATAATTTACATTCTTTATTGCACTTGCCGCTTAATTAGTACCCCGTACATATTTAGTACTACTGGACTAAAATATTAAAATGACACATATGTTCAAGACCCTATAAACCAAATATTCTGTCCACACTTTTTTAGATTGTTCATTACCACAATATTGATATTATATTTTTATGCGCCGTTTTCGAACAGGCATTATCCTGCTTACGGACAAAGAGATATGATGTCACCTGTCCCTTCTAATGATTCATTATGGGGAAAAAATATGCATAAAGCTTGTGTGCAATTTCAAATAACTTAAACGTACTAATCATTAACATTCTATTATGTTACCCTTATGAAAATAATTTTGGGCATTTTTCTCTCGCGGGCGTCATGCAACTGGTGTATAATTGTATATATAAACATCATTACATTTAATTCTAAGTAGCACATTTTACAATAAATCTAACAATTAAAGCCATCTTAAATACTCCGTATTGTATAGTAAAAACATATGCAACCAACATATTTATTTGGGTTGCTTTTATATATGCAATTTCATATACAACTTAACAATTTATAACTTTCGTTTCAGTTAAACTTAATTTATTCTCCGACTAAATGTCATTGATGGTAAATGTTATTATTATTGTAGCATTGTTATTATTATTATGTTATTGTTACTGATATTATTAATTATTAATTTATTATCACTACTAGTATTAATTTTTATTTTTTATTTTAATCAATTCGTAATTCGTGTGTAGAACCAAATCAAACCTGATCCTAAACAATTTGATTTGAATCCGTTCTCCGA